AAAGCAGCCTCTCACCACTGAAGCAGCATCCAAGGAAAATGGCTTTCTGTCTGGCTTGTTGCCACCAGCTCAGGGCAGTGTTTTGTCTGCTGGGACAAACAAACTCCTTCCTCCAGAATCCACAGACCAAGGGGATGATCTGTTTGAATCTGAAGACCTTTTTGTAAGCAGCTTGACATCCAGACCAGCAGCGCAATCCAAGTTAAAGGAGGAAATGCCAAACAGTGTGGCTAACAAGCCTATCAAGGGCAGGGAAAAAAAGCCTAATCCGTCTGTTCTGGGTGATCAGGACAGCAAGGATCTCTTCCAACCTGTACAGCAAAAATCTTCAACAAAAAGCAGCCCTATATCTTTTTTGGAGGAAGAGGAAGACTCTCTCTTCACCTGTCAGAAAACTGGAAAAAAGGAGTTGAAATCTGCTGTCCGGCAAGCTGTGGACCCTACTGTTCAAGATATCTTTGAGGTAGTGGTTGAGCCCGACACCCTGGTGTTTTTGATCCCGAGGGCCTTATGCAGACCCCTCTACTTAAACACAGGCTTAATGGAGACTGCTTAAACCAGTTCCTGGCGTGTACAGGATGGGCAGTGAAGTAAACTGTCACTCATGCTTGCTAATGAGCAATAGAAACCATTTCTTTAGTTGTTCACCCCTTATAAGAGTGGATTAAAAATGGAGCCTTAACACACAGCAGGCACGTCACTGTGCTGTGACAACATACCTGTGATTATGACCTTTTTCAGAGTAATAAAGTATTTGGTTCTTGTCTGTTAGCTATCTGGTCAACCTAGCAGCTCAACCCTTTTTCAAAAAGAATATAGTTGGCAGGCTGGGCAACTTATACAAGCCTCTGTGTGCTGTACTTGACTTGTGCAAAATCCCATACTAAGGCACTTATGCCAAGTCCTCCACAGGGAGAAGGGACTTAAACTTCTTGGGTTTGAGAAGCCCAAGGCTGTCAGTCTTCTAAACATCTCAGCTCTGTGTACAGATAATTTAACTGTTGTCTTTGTGTGGTTTGTATTGAGAGTCTGTCTGTGCTTTGCTCCAAGGATGATATATTTGCTACTGAGGCAACTAAACCAATGAACAAAGCAAAAGAGAAAATGCCAGAACCCAACTTGTTTGACGACAACATTGATATTTTTGCGGATCTCACTGTAAAACCAAAAGAGAAGAAGACCAAGAAAAAGATGGAACAAAAATCTATATTTGATGATGAAATGGGTAAGTCTTACTGCAAATCTCATAATATTGTCCTAAGTTGCATTTATCAGGGATGTTTTAGGACCTTTGACTTTAACTTTTCAACTGCTCTGAAACCTTTGGTCATCTTTGCATTTTAACATTGGATTAGAGCTTCCTAGATTTGTAGAACTAGAATGGCATGTGAAAGAATTGAGGAAGTGTATAAAATTCTTCTGAGAGAAGGAATAGTATAATTTCTGTAGGGATTTTCTCACTTGTGGGAATTAAAAAAAAATCTTTTCTGGAGTAAGAAACTAATCTCATGTTGTTATGGCTCTGGATACATTCTGTGTTTCAATTTGCATAGTTTTTTGTATCATACTTTTCAAGTGAGTCAGTGAAATGAAGAAATTAACATCTTTTCCCACCCCACCTTCACTATTGCAGTGACTCTTTTGGAATCCGTAAGATTTTATTTACTTCCCTGTACACCCAGAACAATTTACAAATACTACACCTGGAAGCAAAAGTTTGCGCTTTATAATTTGTTGAGAAAGCATCATATAATAATGCGAAATGATGCAAAGCATGCTCCTTTCTTGTTCTCCATCAGTAGAGATATTGAAAGTCATTTGATACCCCAGTGTGTGTTTGTTCTCAGGTTCTTCATGTTTATAGCTCTTCTTTGGGATTGCATCTATTTCTTTTCCTATAAGACAAAAAAAAAAAATAAATCCCTTCTCCTCCAGCTCTGATTCTCGTCATCATTCTTTCTAACCTGTTCAAATTGAATGTGACTTATCAGTGTTTTGCTTGGACTGCTGTTAAACATTCCAGCCTGATGAAATGACCTGATTGAAGTCTGTAGATATGTTGGAAAGCTTTCTGGAGAATAACCATCTTGAGATTTTAAAGGCTGCTCAACTGATATAAAAAATAAGAGTAAAATGTTTGCAGGCAAGGTATTTGAAATATGTATTGGATAGTTAAAATGTCTTATTTTAATATTTTACACTTTTGCATGTAGCATATAATAAATGAAATAATTGCCCAACCTGCTACCGCTTCCAAGTATTTCAGCACAGAAATCCAGATCTCGTGAAAAAACAGTTGTAGAATGCCACTTGAAAGTATGATGAAAAATTAGCCACTCAGAACCTGTCATTTGCACTTCCACTTTTGACATCTACTCTGATTTTAGAACTTGTTGTTTCATGTCACATCTGATATTGATACATCTACAGCACCCTGTATCTGATGGACTTGATCTTCCTTGAGAGTATTGACTGTTTTGTGGTGCAGCTGTAAATATGCAGCCTCTTAGGGGCCAAAGCTATGGGGCTCCAGAACTTACCTATACTTAAGGTTAAGAGTTGATTTAAGTGATTTCTGTATCATGATCCTTTATCAGGACTGTATACTGTTGTCTTAGGATTCTTTCTGCTGCAAATAAAACATTAAGTGGGTACAGTTTGGGGAGGGGGTGGAGGCTGCAGGCTGCTTTCCTTTTTCCTACCACAGCTTCTAGTCACTATTTACTACATTTGTGCTAGGCTTGTGGTGGTAGTATTAGAAAAACTCTTTCTCAGGTCTTTATCCTCATAGCCTCCTCAGTGAATTTATGGCCGATGATACAAATATCTCAATGTTTGATCTACCTGTCTGCAAAATGGTGACTAAGCTTGTGCATTGACAAATACTGTTTTTGACAGCCAAAACTTTCCTATTCCTTAAGCCTTGTTATAATATGGGAATGATACTTCTACTACTCATATACTCATTGTACTTCCCCTCTGCTGTGAAGCTAATCCATGTGATAGCATCTTGCTTTGGAGTGATGCCAGTAGGGGATTGCTCTGGTTTACTGCCTTTCTAAACTGCTCTTGTGCTGCAATGCTGTCCTGGATTATTCTGGTGTAATCCCTATGATCAGCACAGTAGCAGACATACGCTGGAGTGGAAGAAATAGCAAGAGGAGGAAGGCAAGCGCATTGTGACAGACTGCTTTGTGCTTGGCTTCTGCTCAAGGTTAGGATACATGCTGAAGGCTGACATGCTAATTTTTATATTCTGGACTAGTAAAAGGCTATTAACCTTTGTGTAAAACCTGTGTTTTTTAATAGGGATTGGAGACCAGTTATGTGCCTGTTACACTGGCCTTGTGAATCACTAGTAATCCACATATCTCAGTCTTGTAATTTTCAACTTCTCATAATCCACCTATATAATCTGAGTATCCTAAACTTAAAACCTTAGTGTATAGGAAGAGCTATGATATTGCATGTGCCCAGGAAACGTCAGGGCAACAGTTCAGCATGTGTATTGTAGCAGCTCTATCCCTTTCCATGAGCGTGGTCCTCAATGCGAGCAGCAGTAGGCACAGTAAGAATTGCAGGTCTGTGAGCTCTGCTGCTGGCACAGGGTATCTGGGTTAGGTTTCATTTCTATGTGGTATATCTTTCAGGAGAGAACTCTGTCTTAATAGCAATATGATATTTTTCTACGTCATCGTCCTAGTTATGAGTAACAAAAATGCTTGTATTGAGGAAGGTGGTGGGAGATCTTGATTCAGGACTGTGCACGTATTCTCGAATATTCAACAGGATGGTAGCTGTAGCTGTCTTTCTCCTTGCATCGTAGCTGTCTTTCTCCTTGCATCTTAGCTGTGGTTTGTTTTTTTTTTTTTCAAGTGATGTGTGCTGTATTCTTATAGTACTATAGATCAGAGATTCTTACATGGCTAGTGGATGTCATGAGTAGTCACTAGCAAGTACCATCTTTTCCTCTTCTGATTTCTCTGGGAGCATCTCACAGCAGTTAGATCTCTCGGGTTCCTCAGACGTTAATGTTCCAGATAAGAGGGATGTTATCTGGCACTTGCACTATGGAATTTATTGTGGAGGTTTAATTTATTAGTACTTCTCAAATGCTTAAGAGAGCTTGAACACATGACAAAATACAAGTATTTTGCTGTTCTACTGAGAAGAAACAATATTCTTAATTTGACTTACAGCTAACAGCTCCCACGTATGTCCTTACAAATGCATCTAGAATCGCAAGCAGCAGGAAAGCATTTGTTTATCACAGAATGTCCTTGGCAGTCATTGCTGTGTGCTGGAGACTTATGTACAATGTTACTTCTGTTTGGCAGTCACATCACATTAATTTTTTCCCCCCCTTTTAGATGATATCTTCTCTAGCAGCCAAGTCAAGATGCCCACTCCCAAAAGCAGATCTTCCCAAGCAGCCTCAGAAGCAAAATCTGAAAGCAAGACGCTGAGCACATTTGATGACCCGCTGAATGCCTTTGGAGGCCAGTAGCCAAGAGGAGTGTGTTGCAGAGAGGAGGTTTTCCTTATGTCTGTACTGTACTAATAATCTGGATTCTCTAATCCAATAGTGCTGAAATGAGATGACTGTGGATATTTAAATGATTACTCATTTAAAATGGTTAGTATTCTCTTGTGCTGGGTCTGACTGCTCTAAATGATATATTTTTTAAAAAAGACAGTAACTTCCTGCTATCTGTTTCCATGATGCCCAGATGAATATAGCCTGTGCAATACCTGCAATGGAGTAATCTATTACACAAAGTATAGCTTGTTTTATTGAACAGATCTATAGAGAAAATAACTGATAAATAGTAAATGGAGTCTGTTAAACCAGATCTGTCTGTATGTCTTGCTTTCCTCTTTACCACTTGCTAAAGACCACTTTTCATGACTTGAAAACAACCAAAACCACTACAGTGCTTTGTCTGGGTCAGCTGCCAATCAACTGAGCTAATGTTAGGGTAAGACTGGGTTCTGTTATCAGGTACAGCTTCTCTTCTTATGTAGTCAAGCAGTTAATAAAATTAGTGCAGGACTTGACACCATTCAAAGAGAATGTATTTCATACTGGCAGCTAATGTGGTCTATAAAAATAACAATGGTTAAAACCTCTCTGCCAGAAAGAGTGTGTTACAGATGAGCACTTACTGCTCTATGAAAACATGAGAAACATGATGTTGTCTTCTATCCAAGTTGTAAGTCACTAACGAGATTTTTTTACCTAACTGGATTTGCTCAAGTTTTGCAAATAACACTTTCCAAGAAGTCTGTCTGAACTGAGCATGCTTGGTTGCTTCCAGGTTAACAAGCCTGTGTGCATACCTTAGTGCAAAGACTCGCTTGTGCCAAAAGGATTGCTGTCTGCTTCCCTTTCTCATGTAGGCTGTTTGCAGGAGGCTGCTATTTTGTAGAATCCTTGTAACTGTCCGATGCATTTCTCTTAACTTTCTTGCTTCCTGTATTTTCTAGATTGTCCTGCTGGAACTGATGCCATTATCCATACTTGATGCCCACTGGTAGACACTTGCTCTCCTGCATGCATACAACCAGAGCAAATGCATAAATGTAGAAGGATCAAATGTGCTTATTTTACCAGTGACTGCCAGTGATTCTGACTTCAAAACTAGATGTGCTGTTTTAATGATAGTGATGTACTACTTTATCTTCAACTCTTAAGACTGTTCTGCATGTGCTCAGAGGACTTCGAGAGAAATTCGCACTTTCACTGAAGCCCTTTTTCTTGAGACATCTGCTTCAGTCTCTTGTTTCTCAGATTGGATTTACTTTATCAGGCACAGTGAACAGTGCAGCTGAAGCATCTAGCACTCATGAGGGTAAAGCAGAATGAAAGGTTGGAAGGAATAAAGGAGAAACACTGTGTATTGATTTGAGTCATAGGTGGGCCTGGCAGTGATTCATGTTAAATGGGGGCTAAATTGGGAGTAGCAGATTGGAAAAGAATGTAGGAGCTATTTGCAAATGGGTATCTACAGTATGAGCACTTGCACTTTATTTATAGGCATTACATCTGCTGCAAATGCCACATAACATGATTTGGACTGCTGCTTTACTCCTTTCTCTTGTGCTTAGAAGGGCTTCAAAGACATACTGGGAGAAAGAGGAAAAAGATGGTGAATCCTTCTATTTCTTTTCTGCATCCTTCTTTCTTATTGGCCCTTCACATTAATAACTTCTATTAGCATTACAGAGAGTGCTCTTCATAAGCCAAGAACCCTGGAGGCCAAAAACTGTTGGAGTAGAAGGAAAAAAAACCAAACCTGCCGTAAAATGTTTCTTAAACTTTAATATGGAACCTCAGTAGAGAAAACTTCGTGATAGAAAGTTGCACTGTGACATAGATAAAAACTGGCACAGGGAGAGTCTCTTCCCCCTATTAAAATGGAGTGGTCCTCAATTAACTCCTTGTAACAGACTGTGAATCCTGATCTAAGTCCTTTGCTTTTGGGAGAGCTTGGTCTGAGTGGTGGCTTTTTAAACTGAGTTTTGGCTTGGTTTGTCTCCTTCCCAAGTTTGATAAACCATAACTGCATTTCCTAGGAAGGGCAGAGCTGGAGGTCCAGTCTTACAGTACCCAGGACTTGCCCAGGGACTTTGAGGGTTCTGTACCTGCTACTTGCATGCAGTAAAACACAGTATTTGTTCTGTTTGTTTTAACTGACTCTAGGTGTTTTGTTTCAGGCCCAGGGCAGGTCTTGCATTATTTAAAACCTAAGCCGAAAGTAAACTGCTTAATGTAATTAGCACATCCTAATAAGGTAAGCTTGTTTTGTCTAGTGTTTCACAGGAAGATTGATGGGCTGAGGGAAGAGCTACGCCTGGAGACCAGCCTGACTGACTGACATTGAAGCAAGCGCAGAGTCGTGCGCTGACCTTGAGTAACGGTGTCCGAGAGCTGCGCTTACCTCCAGCCAGCCCTGGCTCAGGATAGGGGAAAGGCCTGCAGTGGCTGGGTGTCATCCCACTTGTGCTTCGACTGGGCCCAGTGCTGCGCTGGTAGGCGTTAGCGTTCCCTGGACGCCTCTCGGGTTCAGTTTGAGGTATAAACGCTGTTTTTGACCGTTCTCCTTGAGCAAATGTAGCGGTAGGTCCGGGACGAGGCGCTGACCCCCTTAGCCCTCGCTAGACTACGCGTCCCAAGAGCCACCGCGGCCTTCCGTCACGTGGCCGCAGTTAGCGGCCGGGGAGTTGCATCCGGGTCCTTCTCCGCGCACGCTCTGCCTGCCCGCGTCCTAACGACCGCAACAAGCGACAGCAGCGCGCCCGGCCCGGCGGACGCCCGCCCCCGGCGGCTCCCGAAGCACCGCCCCTCCAGGGAGCTGATTGGGAGACCCGCATGAGAACGGGCGTCGCATTGGCCCGTAGGAGGCTGCCCGGGGGGGATGTCATGAGGGAGAGGTAGGCGCGGGGGCTGCCGGGGAGCGAGTGGCGGCGGTGCGGGCGGCTCCTGGGTCCTAGTCCATTACCCCACAGCTCCTCTGGCTGCATGAGTCCCGCCGGGGCTGCAGAGCTCCTGTGAGGCGCGGCGGGCGGCGCTGCACGAGGGGAGAGAAGCTGTGTCTCCCCCCCGAGCGGGCCCAGCGGCGGCAGGTGAGATGAGACCCCTCCCTCTCTCCTCCCATCGCGGACCGGCTCTGCAGCCCCCGGGAGTGCTGCTGCCTCGGGGTCCCTGCGACCCGAGGTGAGGGGCAGTGCGCTAACCCCTCCCGCGTCCCCGCCGGTGGTAAGCGCGTCCCTGGAGGGAAGGTGGGTGGATTCTTCTGGGGGTGGGCTGGGGCACGGCTGGCCCTTGCAGTGGGGCGCGCGTACTACCCGGGGTGTGAGGCTGCCCCGAGGCTCGGCGGCGGCGGCGGCTGCGGGGGGTGGGAGGGAGGGTGGGCAGCTGCTCTCGCTCCTTTGTTTGCGGGTGCTCGGCTCTGCTGGCCTGAGTCCGGCCTGCCTCCCGGTACAGCGCTGGACTGGGCCGGGGGCAGCATGGAGCGGCCGAGGGGGAAAAGGTGCTCTGTTCTGTTGCCCTCCCCGAGCCCGGACGAGTCCCCGTATTTATGTCTTCCTGGAGTTTTTTCCCCAGGTCTGATCCTGTTGAGGGCTCAGCTCGTGTTGTTTTTGGGCGTTAATGTAGGTCGTTTGTGAAAACAGTAAAAATAAGAAAGGTAGGAGGTAGGACCTGGAATGCTGACTGAAACCAGAGTCCTAAACCTACAATATACTAATACCGCTTGTGGTAATCTGTTGTACAACCTACATAGTAATTTACTGCTTCTTAATAGCTGTTCCATTGTTCATCAAGAATAAATTGAAATTCTCTTCAACAGCCACATGCAGATGTTGTTAGCGCTATGCTTGTTTGCTTTATAGGTGAGAAATCCTAGAAATGAACAGCGATGCACCACACCCGTCCTCAAAGCTGACTTGGCTGGAAGTGGAATGTAGTTTTCTGACAGATCTCCTTACAAGAAAATTGTAAATCCTTTGTAATGGCCAACAAGAAAAAGCCTCCTTTTTTCAATGAAGATAATATGGGACCGTTTCACTACAAGCTTCCTTTTTATGAAACTATGGAGCTCTTCATTGAAACACTTACAGGAACATGCTTTGAACTGCGAGTTTCCCCCTTTGAAACGGTTATTTCTGTGAAAGCTAAAATTCAAAGACTGGAAGGTACTGTTCTCTCATTTCATTATAAACTTTATCACTTTAGAGAAAGTCTTGTTTTAAAAATTATAATTGCTATTCAGATTGGATTAATGACTTGTTCGGTATTATGTATATAAAGTAGGCACTTGGTTTACGGCTTGGGATTAATTGGAATTGAGGGGTTTTTCTGCTTTTTCCTTTTCCTGTCATTTCACAGCTTGGACTTCGCTGGAATTGATATTTTTGCCCTCCTTTTGTTGTTGTGTTTTGGTTTTGGTTTATTTAATAAGGTAAATCTTTAGAAGTCTGTGTTAAATCATTAACTGTGATATTATATGGGATATAGCATTTTTGGTGTTGAAAATATTCTCTGGTATAACTTGTTAACTAGCAAGGGTATAAACTTGAGTGTTGCAGTATGTCTGTATTGCAGCTGTCAAGCACACTTTAAACATAGGTGCTCTGGTTGCTTCTTAGGTTAGCTAGTTTATGGTTTATGATACTGCAGTCACAAGAGCAGCTGTAGTGCAGACAGATGCAAAGGTGGCTTGAAGTTAGAATTTTGTTTAGGTAAATGATCTTTTTCTGGTAAAAGTCTGGTTGAACAATGATTTGGCTGAACGTGATGAACTTGGCACAGCTTGCAAAGTGAAAACCTCCTTTAAGTTATGAGTCCAGTCGTGCTAATGGAGGAGAAAAGATGTAGCTTAGTCCTCTCTCACCTCTTTCCCTCTACAGTGAGGATGATCCTGCATGAAAGAATGCTGTTTAAAACACGAGTTTAAATACTTCAGCTACTTTGAATCACTGTATCCTTTTTGTCACTTTGGAGGAGTTAAAGAACTCTGTAGCTACACAAGCTGAGGGTACCAGAGTTGCTGATTTTTAAGAAAAGGGATCCTCTCTTTCCCCAGTATACCCGAACACTTTTTTCATTCTTCTGTCTGTGTGGAACCCACCCTCTGGGAGATGTAATGCGATGCTTTAGACTTGAATCTAAGGTACTGTCCTCCTATTATGGAAATCTGTGCTAATGGATGGAAAAAAAATGTAGCTGACGAGTATTAAAACACAAAAGCATTCAACAATAGGGATGACTTTTTGCTAGTAAGGTCACATAGTAAAAGCTCCACCATGCAGATAACTAGAGTTTACATCATTGTAGCTCCATTAGCGCAGCTATGTAGATACGCTTTTGTTTCCTGTGGACAGGGCCATAATTAATCACAAGTCTGAGAACTTGTTGAGATGCTCCTGGAGGCTAGAGGTGAAACAAGAAAAGGAAAGGTATTTTCTTCGTGACTGAATATAGGCGTAGGAGAGATGCAAGCAGATACATGATAGAATGCTAAGAGTGAATTAAAAGGGAGCTTAGGCAGTAGAATATAGGAGAAGGAAGGCTATCTGGACAGTATAGATGAAGTAAGTGTTAAAGGATGAATGAAAAGACAGTAGGAGATGTGAGGAAGAGGAATTTTAATTTACTCTGAAATAGGAGATTGCCAATAGACATCCTGAATTATACCTATAGCTTATTGTAGGCTGGGTGTGCCTAGCTTACAAAAAGTATCCTAGTTTCTTACTAGTTTCTCATAAGAAGAACAGCTAAGTAATGAAATTATAATATTACTTATTGAGAATTTTGTTCTCATGTTGTAGCTGATAGGATAAGGTAGTATCTTAGGTGCCTGCTATATGGACTTTAGTAAGTAAATTTCATTAAAATATGGAAAATAAGACTTCACTGGTGTTTACTATTGAACTGTTATTAGAAGTCAGTTGAAATTCCTTGGTACTCCAGAACACAGTTTAAAATACCTGCAGTGTCCTGATTAATATGATTTGAGGCAGAGTGAAGACAGATCGATCAACTGTGCGTGGAGGGGACAGATACACAGTGACAAATTAATTTTATGTTGCATTTGGGGTTGATACTGCATGTAAAAAATAATGAACCACTTCTAATTGATGGAGTTCCTGTTACAGTGCACAAGTGCAAGCAATGAATCACCCAGCTAAAGCAAAAATCCTAAAGTAATTTTACTGTTGTGATTTAGTATGGGAAGTAAGAAGCTTACATTTGTTTCTTTTTCTGCTGCTGTTTTTAACTTTTTTTTTATTGTATAGTGTTAACTTTCATGGCGTGTGAACAAAGAGGTGCATTTAAGCTGCACTTCTGGCTGAAGAATGCTTCCTGCACTGCTGGGAGACTGTATAGGGTACCTAGTATATGTATTGTCTCTGTAGATTCATTTGAGTGTAAGGATAATGGTATATAAGCATATAAAAGGACAAGTTTGGGGAAAATTAAGACTTGGTATCTCCAAGAATGAAATCTAGAGTTGTCTCAGAAGTTAATAATTTTTTTCAAATGTCACCAATACATCTAGTTGTAAAAGTCTAATAATAAAACTAAATCAAGAAAACTGATCTTTGTCAACAACTTGAAAATCAATAGCTGTAGACTGCACTGTAGTAAGAAAGGATAATATGGATGGCATGTTAGGAATTTTGTATACTTGTCATTCTTGGTGCCTGTTTAATGATCTAATATGGGAAGGGCTTGTTTAGACAGCTGTAGTAGACATTGGTGCCTTACTAAGGAAGAGCTCCATATCTCCAGCTTTCAGTTTCCAGTTGGTTTTAAGTCGGTAAAGAATATGGGTAAAAATTTATTAATGGGTTCTAAGGCATCTGAAATTTCAGTGCAACTCTAAACTCTACTTGTAAATTGAAGTTAAAGCAGATCTGACATGTGTTTCTATCTGGTCCAGGTATTTATCCTCAAATATGTTCCAGGCAAAATAACCACTTGGTATTTAGATTTGTTACAATGTTGACTTTGGAGCCACTTAGGGTGAATTGTTCCTTGTCTCAGATTCACCCAGTGAGCTTTTTAAAATGGTACACTGAGAAGAAATAGCTTCCTTTGTCTCTGCTGGTGGCATAAAAGCTAGAATGCATACAGTCAGCAGTACAGCATAGTGTGGGCAGCAGTGTTACCTGCTTCATTGGTTTCATTTGATTATTTGTATTTGAAAGCAGGATCATGTGTTGGATGGACATAAATGAGCAGGACATGGATAAGGTGATACCTGAGTTTCAAGGTGACATGAAAGACTGAGCTTTAACACATGAATGGTACTTAAAAATAGCAGGACTTCAATGAAAGAGGAAATAGCTTTTTGCCTTTTTTTGCTGGAAGGTATCTTCTTGCTACCTTTATTGCACAAGTCTTTGTAGCTGCTGGGCAAAGTTTAGTATTCCTTATTTGGAATATTATATTGAATTTTATAGAAAGAACATTCAGATAGTGTATTCCTGGAGTGGCTAATTCTTTCATCTGTTACAGAACCATAGATAGTACCTGTAAATGTGTGTGTTCAGTAAGATAGGATCGAATCTCAAGGGGGGTAGCAGGGGTTGGGATTTGGTGATAGTGGTATTATTTTGTGGGAATTAATTTGCATTCTGCAGCTGGAGGGTTAAGGCCTTCATTTACGTAGCTAGTTTTAAAATAAGAAGAAACAACTTGGTCATGATTTGTTCAGTGACTGCTTGCAACTGAGTTTTGTGATCTGCATATATGGAAACATCTACCTTTTTAGATGAAAACTTAGATGTTCTCTTGTTCTTGTATTATTGTAAAGGGGAAAAACAACTAGCTTTTAAAGTACATCTTAATTTGGAATGCTTGTGTTCAGCAGGGAACAACAGATGCAACAGCGTTTTTGTTTTCTGTGTGTGTACTCTTAAGTCATCATGACAGTTGATGCTTTGGTCTTTTTCCTGTCATTATTTTGCTGCTTATGTACAGCAGCTTCACCTGAAGCAAAGGAAGTGGATGAATATCAAACAGATTTCTTCTGGATGTTGTAATTTCTTTCTAAATTCTGTGAATTCAGAGTATGTATTATATTTATTACTACTAATGTTAGAGAAAATAGTTATGTTTCTGTCAGGATTGGAGTAAATGGATTGCATAAGGGTAACAAGTTTTCAAAAAACTTGCTTTTCTTCTGTCTACTACTTTTCCTCTGTGTCTCTTGTTTGCTTAGTTATTTGCCTGTTTACTGTGCTGATAAAGACTAGAAGAAGTTCATGAAGCTTCTTTAGGCTTATGCCTTGTCTGAGCTGGGAAAACATTCCTGCAAATGCAAGCTTGTGCCCAGATCAGATGGTTAGAGCAGCTTTTGGAAGGTCACATTTGCCAGGAAGTTGGGCCTGTATTCAGTTAATGGTGACTTGCTGTTAGTCTCCTCTGTCAATGCCTAGAATAAAGAATAGGTCAGCACTGATCACCATGTACACTAATGTAGCTTACTATTGTGCAAATGAAAGATGGGAGGCTTAAGAGTTGCGAAAACAGCCTTGCTGCTGTAAGTTGTGAACCTTTGCACTTCTTCCCCCCACTCTCTTGTGGGGGGAAAATAAGACTTGTCACACCAGCCTCTCTGCAAGCAAGAACAAATAAGGAATTTTCCAGCAATTTGAACATTGGATCAAAGGTAAGTAAAATGTTTGAACTTTGGCTTCTAAATGTCTGTGGTGTTTTTAAACACAGTAACCTTCTATACACAACATAAAATCAAGTTTATTCTGAAATCTACAGGTTTGGTCATTTGTTTCTGGGTCCGACCTGACTACATCAGTTTCTCTGGTGAGCTGGCTTAGCGTGCCAGAAAGAAGAGTAAAGGAGTGAAGCTTAAGAATGTATCTGATAGGCTGATTCAGAGATAGGACAGAGTACTTACTTCTTTCCTCCCCCCATTTTAGTAGGTCAGATTGTCAGTGCATCTGCAGCCACTTCAGGAGACAGACTTGCATGAAGAGGAGTTTAAGGTAGCTCAAAGAATGACCATCAAAGGTATTAGCAAAGAATAGTTTTATAGTGAGTTAATAAAAGTACAACTTAACAAAATTTAATGGGAAGGTTCACTGTTACTTATTACATGGATGAAACATACAAAGGAAAATCTAGCTAAAGATGAATGGTACAGAGACTGAAGACAAGACGCAAAAGGGTAAGGGAGACCCTCCTGTTGAGTCACAAGCTTCAGAATAGACCCCCTTGTTCCCAAAGGAGCCTAGGTGTGGATAAGTCTAGTTTTAGTCTCAGACTTGGTCAGTACCTAAAGGGTTACAAGGGTTACAATTGTACCAATTCACCACAGAGGGAATTTTTACACAGCTTTCACCTACCAGTAGTTTGCATTTTTAAGGTGGATCTTATAAAGTAAGTCAATAGTATTTACTACACTTGTTATAGCAATCTATTAAAAAATCTATAAAGCATATATAGTCTATATAAAACCTACACATACATGAAGACATATAAAGGCATAGCTTCTAAAAATTCCCCTTGAGTTGACTAAAACATTCCTAATGTCTTAGCATTTCTCAGGGGGTGGGGAGACTTCAGCTCAGGTCCTGTCTTTTGGTGGTGGTCCTCCAGTTATCACAAACTTTAGAGTCTGGAAACTCTGAGGGGCATCGAACACAGAGGGAGATGCTGGTTGCAGCCTGCTGTGGTCCAGGAGTGCTCAAAGGGTCTCACTAGAGACCACTGTTTATAGGATTACAAGATGATTTTCTTTAGTCATTAGTAAATTTCCATCCTGACCAAAATCTGAGTTGGTAATTACTAGAAATTTCTCAAACCACCAGTAACATTGGTATTGTTCTATTCAGGCCACATCACAGGAAGGAGTGTTCCAAGGCTGTCAGGGGTTGACTGACTTTATCTCCACATTCCTTTCCTACTTTTGCCAGGGAACAGAAGTCCCTAATGTGATCAGTGCTTCACCCCTTAGCCATGCAAGAGTTCCTGGTATGGTCAAGGGACATTTCACTGTTCATCTCATTACACAAAGGCCAAGGCCTGATGGAAATTCCTGAGATACTGGAGCAGCCCAGGGGATGGGGGCAGACAGGTAAAGGGCAGGCAAATGCATCACCAGAAGCCTGCAGATTCTTCTGTAGTCACCTGTCTAGGCCAAGTGCATTTGAGCACTGAGATGTAGGTTATTACTCACTTACCTCTCTTCTCGGAACTGATCTAGAGTAGGCTGGTGATACAGTCATGTGTTGCTTAGGGAGAGCGGATAGGGTCTTGCAGTTACTATTTTTGCCAGTTTTACATGCTGATCCCACGCACAAATCTTTTCTCCAGAAAGCCTTACTATGATCCAGAAAAGGGACAGCTGATCATATTTTCCTGCACCTGAACCTATAAAGCACATGGCATTTCCTCTGTGTATATAGAATTCTTAGAAAGCAGCATAAAAGGGAATTAGTAATAAAGACTTCACTGTTTTTCATTAAAGCAGAGTAGTCTTTTCATCTGTTCATTTAATCAAAAATACATTGTCATTGTTAAACGAACAAAACCATGTTTCACTGTAGTACAGCCAGTTGCAAGCCAGTCTTTTTAACAAGTGCTCTCTTGATTTATCAAAGTAATTGAAAATTGCTCCTTGGAGGCTGCTGAAACCATAACAAATGCAGACAGTAATGACTGTAATCACAAGACTGCAAAACAACACAGAAAACAACTTCACTGTAGGCTTGCTGGCTGTTGCCAGCTTGTTCTTGTTTTGCTTACGCTGCAGGCTTGAATCATAACCGAAAACCAGTTACTAAATAGCTGGCACTGTAGTAGCACTTATGTTAGTCCACTATATGAACATATTCCTCTCATAAATGTCTTGTGGACTTCAGAGGATACAAGTTTCATGTTAAATGCTGTCCAACTGAAGTAAAGTTGCATTGGTTGTTCATAAAAGAGAAGATGATGTGAGCTGTGGTGAGAAAAGGAAATTGTCATCTTCTCTAAAACTTAAATAACAATGACAGTTCCTCCAAAATGCACTCCTTCTTCTGCAGAAGGATGTCCACATAACATGTCTCCTACTTGCCTGTTGAATCTGTTCGGACTTTCCCCTTTTCTTCCTTGTTAGTGATGGGTGTTGGTAGCTTTGTGCCTTTCCTCCAGTTAGGAAGAGGCTACTTAACTGACCTTTTGCCACAGCTTGCTAAGTGCTCTTGCAAGCTTTGGGGAGCTGAGGTATGTTTGAAAACCACCTGGAAGAGTCTGATCTTTGTATTCTCTTGCCAGATGTATTTTGGGAAGTCCTACTGTATAGCATTGCTACTTGTATATCCTTTTGAATGCCTGAACATGCAGTAAATAAAAGTACAAGATAAGGTTATTTTAATGTAACCTTTTGGAAAATATATTTATAGCTTTTGCTTCTTAGGCTGTGAGTAGTGCTTAGACCCTTTTGAAAAAGTAGTTCTGGCTTCTCTAGGCTTTGATTTTAATTACAGTTTGTCAGGAATGCACAGTGAGATCTTAATTACTTGGACTTCACTGGACAAATTGAATAACAGTACTTCTTTTTGATGCTGAAGGGAAGAATTTTTTTTTCTGCGTGTGATCTGAGATGTCTCATCTTTTCCTATTGTATTCGCATCCAAATTTGGAAAGTGGTAGCATTCTAGTAAAAATGTGTGAAGACCTTGGGTTGTAATGGCTTATGCGTATTTGTGTGTTACGTATATATCTAAATTAGTTGACTATGAAGAAACAAAGTTAATTGTTGTGTAGAATATGGATTTTTAATAAGGAAATACTCATAATGCTTACTTCCCATTAACAAAAAATAGCCAGATCTGTCCCAGAACTTGAGTTGAAAAATAATAATACTGTATATGAGTAATAAAATGTTCTGATGGCCTGAAAGAACACCCACAGCAAAATAAAAGTGTTTGTAGTACAAAGTTTGACTACTTGCTGTGGTACTATAGTGTACATGTGAACCTTCTGTTTCCAAACCAAGCGATGATAAAAAAAACATTTAGAGTTGTCACCACTGTAGTAGAGCTGCCTTAATGCAACCTTGTCTTGACTGTAATATAGAATATCAGTCTGAATATTTTTTATTTATAATTAAATTATTCAGCAGTTCTATAATTAGAAGTTTTATCCTGTCAGTAGACATAAAGCTCTGAGGTACAGACAACAGAAAAAAAACAACTCACCCAAAGACTGTAAAAGAAGTAGTATTCAATAAGCCTGAAGCAGTTGCATACTTTTACAGACCCCTTGTTGAGCCAAAAGATTGAACTCAGTGTGAACACAAGCCTGCTGATGATCTTAACTTTGACTTTCAAAGAACAACAGCTATTGTTCTTAATAGCTGTTTGGAAGGTTGGATATCATGACTAAAGGCTGCTCATGCACCTGTTCTTGTCCTGCTTCCTCTTGTCTTTCCCCTGTAAGTCACTTTCTCACCTCTCTTTCATTACCTCATGTTCTTCATTCTTCAAAAAGCAGAACTCCCATTAAGCTTGAATTTTAATAATCTTTTGGGGTTTTTTTTAGGTATTCCTGTCTCTCAGCAGCACTTAATTTGGAATAATACAGAACTGAGGGATGACTATTGTTTGAATGATTATAAGTAAGTACAGAATACATGACAGTTAATGTTTCTAAATAATTATTGGCATAAGTAATCATGATGCTACAAAATTTTATTCGTTATTTTCAGCATTTCGGAAGGCTGCACTCTGAAATTAGTTCTGGCTATGCGAGGTGGACCTATTAACACTAGAAGAGGTGAGTGCTAACCAAGTTCAAAATAGTTTCATGCAACATCTTGTAACCAGAAACAGCTTTTCTTAGCGAAGCATTCTAGATGAGCAGACTTCAGTTCCAAATCATTTGGAAAGTACTTAACAAAAATAGAGTCTTTTTTTGGTGGCGTTTTTTTTTCATCATCTTTAACATACCAAGTGCACCATCCTTTTCATTTTGTTTGCCCTTAGTTTAACAAGTATGTTTATATGTATAGAATCATTAAGTTTTAAAATCAGCAATTCTTTACCTGCAGAAAAAATATACTGTAATGTAATTATACATATACTTTTTAAAATCTTGATTATTAAGAATCAGGCATTGGTTTAGTCCAGTGATAAACCTGTGTATCATCTATACAGAAATGAAAATGGAGAAATCCCCTTGATAATTTTTCACATGGGAAAAAAAAACCTCAGCGTCTCTTCTAAATTGGGAATTCCCATTGTAAACTGAGCTGAGCTCTTAAAGGTGATCAAAACAATAATAATAATAATCTGGTTTTACTCTGGGTTGTTTTTTTTTTTTCCTTCTCTTGATAGTTTCTGTGGAAGACCCTATCAGGGAAATGGCTGAATACATGGATCCCACTAGAGATGAGATCTGGGAGAAAGGGGCATCCAACAAACAAGTTACCTTCTTAGTATATCGAGAAGGAGATCAGTTGAATTTCTTCCGTGTGGTAGACCGGGGAGATGGCACTTTAACACCATTATCTGAGTCTTTGGGGTAAAGTTGGTTTTAATCTCTATATTATTTTTCAAAAGCGGGATGCTGTATGATTTTTAGCTCTGTTTGTTGACTTTATCAAAAAAGTATCTGAAATACTGCAAGAAATGTGTCCTAAAATGCTGTAACTGGAAAGCCTAGCAACACAGTAGTACCTTGTGGTCAGCGGCCATGCTGACAGTGATCTATCACCGTGTGTGTCAATAGAGTGCGATAAAGCTGACCTTGTGCTTATGGCAATTCTCAGCATTCCAGCCCTTTCTTAAAGGGAGCAATTCACAGGAGAGTCAATTCAGCAATAAATGTATTTTTCTTCCATCTTAAGGCATTTGTTTAGTTTATAAACATTCTTCTGTTCACAGTGTAAACTTTCTCATATGGATGTGACTTCACCAAATGATTAGTTAGGAAGATAGTAGCTTGGCAGTGAAAAATCCTGAGAGGGTTTGTCTGAAGGTTTGGAGAAACTGGGGGTGTGTTGGTGGGTTTTTTGTTTTGCTGGTGTTTACTTCGTTAATGTTCTGAAATAATATTATTATATAAAAATAATAAGAGGAGGAAATACACAAGTATTTTAGATTTGTGATCATCTTTCAAGTCTTGCACTCATTTTCAGTAAATAGCCACTTCCTATGTTGTGTGTATATTTGAAATAGGTAAAAGCCACCATCACCAACAAGAGCTGAGGACCTTGCTGCTGCACTGGGCTAAATAAACTTCTGAAAAGAGGAGCAGACAGGTGTAATTCCTGTACTCACTGATACTCTGCCTACTGCCAAATTGTTCCCTTTTACCTTTAACTGCAAATGAACATCCAAAGAGCTAGAACTGTGGATGCTATACTGTGAATTGATGCAAGGAATTCTCAGAAGGAGTTTGAACTTCGATTTTTTTTTTTTTTTTTTATTATTATTTTATTTTTTTTTCCTTGTATAATGGACACTCTGGTATCTGCCTACATGTTCAAATTCTTGTGTGTGAGAGGTGGTTTTGTTTTTCCTCTGTCCCCAGGCTCCATTTAAAACTACCATGGACAATTGTTTGAAACTCTTAGTAGTTTTCAACTAGATAATCCTAGTGTATAAATTAAATAGTAATTTATTTGCTTGAGATTGGATAAAGGTAGCAAACCAGAGGAATAAACCACATTCTTTAGCTCTTATAAGGCATCTTGGTAAGCTTTTCAAAGCACAAGAGCATGTATAAAAGTCAGATAGATGCATTATACTTAAGAAATGTGCTGTCACTGGTTAAATTATCCAGTTAGGTTAGAAGCCAACTTGAGTTGAAAACATTCAGCTTCAGTTGTTCAGTGCTTTCTATGGGTGTTCATTTATTAGCTTTTCTACTAAGGTAGACACTGATTGGGTGGGGGAGAAATTCTGTTGTTTTTTTTTTTTTTATTTTTTATGGCTGGGCAGACTATGTGAGAAATGGAAACAGTAACAGAGGAGAGAATGGAAGCACATCAGACCTTTTCGTTTTCTCTTTATAGAGGAAGGCTGTGAATCACTCTGAATAGTAGCACTTTACACACTGACAGTAAAATATGTTTATATGTGTGCATATACTGGTGACTGAGAGTTTTGAGACACTTATTTATCAGCTTTTCTCATATTGCTTATGTGTGGAGCAGAACTTAATGGCTGCAATTTAGAAATGAGACACTGGTTTGGATTTTGTTTTATAGTTCTCCAGATCATTTCATTTCATCTGTGGTTAAGGGTTCAAAATTGGCAAGGTGTAAATACAATGATTATTGTCTCTGGATTAAAAGAAAACTGTTGAAGTTGTGGTAGGGGACTGGCAAGCACTGATGTCGAAAGGTTTCAGCAAGCTACTGATCATTTTTGAGGCATATATTTACAAGCAAGATCTCAGAAATGTTGACACCTATCGATAAAGTAGATTTGAAGTATACTCATTGGAAAATGGGCTAAAAGTATGATCAAGAGCAAAGCTTCATGTCCATCTTTATAGTTTTAGAATCAAAGCAAAAAAATCCTTCCGTTACTCTTCAGGGCTTTTTTTTTTTTATTGTATGTGTTTTTTTGGGGGTTGCTATTTAGCCAGCAAATGCAAGAAAAAGGATAACAATTCTTTTTGCATTAAAACCAAACAAACAAAAACCCATTCCCAAAAAACAACCAATAAAGCAAAAAACCAGCCAAACGTGTGCAATGCATCACTTTTCTCTCTATCCTTACCTTGAACAAAAATAGGTTCCAAGAATTGTTTTCAGTTGGTGACTTAAGTCTTTGCAAAAATTAAAATTCTGACATGATTCTTTAGTGTTGAGTCTTTTACCAAGCTTGCTGTCCCCATATGGAGCTATTCAGTTTTTGATAAGAAATGACTGGACTAATCTGCTAACTCCTGCTTTGAATTTGCTGCCATCTTGCTCTTAAGTATCTGTCTCCTGAAGTTGTGCTGCCTTTAGAATTTTGCTACGTGAATCAGGTAAGATGACAGCTCTAATTAGTGGAGGAAAAAAAAAAAGTTGGGTAGGTTTGGGTTTTTTTTGGTGGTGTTTTGTCTTTTTGGGGGTGGTTTTTTTTTTGTTTGCTTGTTTTGGTTTGTTTCTTTCTCCTCCCCCCCCCCCAAGTATGAGACTTTGGAAACCTAAACTGATCTTTTTTTTTTTTTTATTTTTTTATTTTGAAAAGCAGAAGTAGAATATCACATCCACATGGGTGACCCCTCCATTTCCACTTATGGTGAGAACACCCCTCAGGATGGATAGAAATTTGGACTTTGCTTCCATGCCAGTGTCTGGTTAATTGGAAAACTGATCAGCTTATTGTCTGAGTCACACAGTTAACAGCTTTGGCCATACCTTCAGGAGACATTTGTGGAACTGGATATCCCTTCTGTGGGGAAAAATATATAGTGAGTGTGAACCAACTGTATATGGTATAACAACTTCCCGGAAGCGTGGCTGTGTTCTGATTTCAGCATCATCACTTTGTGTGAGCATCTTACAAGGAATGCTTATATGCTAAACTAAATAGATTTGAAATGTCTTTGCAAACAGCTTTACATAATGCTTTGTCAACAGATCAACTGCAGATATGACTCTAGTTGTGAGAATATTACTTCACTGAAAACATAATTATGTGATGAGAGGATGAACACAAACTTTATTTTATTTTCAGTGGTGGTTCAATTTATAACTTATATGCGGATGATGAAGATGAGACAGAGGCATCACCTTCTGGCCAACAGATTATTGAGAATTCAATTACTATGAATAAAATGAAACTGCTGAAGGCAAAGATGGAGAACATGAATCTGAGTAAAAAGGTGAAGTTGTGATTTAAATTTTCTTACTGTAAAATGGCTTGCACTTTCCTGGTGCTGGTTTTCTAAAAAGCAGATCAGATATTTTGCTGTCTTGGGAAGTGAAGGATCAAGGGTAGATGATTCTTTACCTGTTGTTTAAGTAAATGCTGTTGTATAAATGTTGTGCTGTGCAGCATTGGTCTTACTTGGATCTACCTGTCCTCATTCAAACAATTCACAACAATTCACTAGTGGTCCTGATTTATATGTGTTGGGTGGGTTTTCCTGTGGGTATATGGGATTTTTGGGATGGTGTTTTTTTGTGTCTGTGTGTTTTTGTGGTGGTTTTTTTTGTTTGTTTTTTGGTTGATTGATGTTTTGGTTTGGGTGTTGTGTTTTTTTTTTTTTCCTTATTTGCTTTTTTTTCTTCCAGTACTTTAATGTTGTTTTGCAGTAGTTCTGTGGTAAAAATCAGTGTTTCTCTTAAATGAAGCTTCATTAAAAATGCTGTAACGGAAAAGCCTATAAAGTTAAACAGGAGAATGAGATTACCTAGAAGATAAAGCATTACATTGGTGTTCATGTCTCTCTAGGTTAACTAGATCTAAAATGAAGAGGATTTCTTTCATTGTTCATTTTGTTTGAGACCCTAAGCTCTGCTGGGTAACTTTGGCGTTATGGCTTCCCTTTCTATTCTGTTGATGTGTGGTCGCCTATATCTGATTTTTTTTAATCAGAAGAAGACTTTTCTGATTGTAATATTTTGATTTTTGTTACTCAGATGTTGGGGTGTGGTTTTGAGGACTAGCAGCAGATAACAGAGTACAAAGAATGATTTAGTCTTTTCTGGCCTTACAGTGTCTGAATTCCTGGCAATGTGATCTTTAAATGCAACCATAATTAAAATACTAATTGTTGTATATGTTTTTTGTTTTATTTATTTAATAGCCTAAGAAAACTGTCAAGGTGAAATCTCGTCCTCCAGTGGCTCCTCGACCATCTAGTGGCTCAGTGGCTGCTGCTCGTCACCGTTTTTTAAGAGTGCTCCCCCATATTGGACAGTCCTGCCTACCTCCTCCTGGGAATTCATATCACTCAGAGTCTTCCCAAAATGCACTTTCAGCATTGGCTACTTTGGCCACTGCTGGTAGAACGATGCCATCTGCAGCTAATGACTTTCTTAAGGAAGATGACACCTGGCAGAGCAACTCATGGTCACAGTCACTTAGTAGCATCAGGTTACCACCAAAAATATCTCGTGTTGAACTAGAAAATGCAAAGCTACCTACTAATAGTATTTTGACCCCTGTTTCATCTCCGTGTGAAAATTCAGAAAAAGCATCTGAAAATGTGACCTCAGCAAGTGAAGAGGATGCTGTTTTGTTTCCGAATCTCACAAATATAGAACTATATGAAACAGAAGAAAAACTTCTACCTGAAACAGATACTTTTGCTTTGTTAACAGAAGAAAGCACCACTGAACAGTGTAGTGAGATATATGACATAGGAAAGGTGAACCAAGAACTTGAACTGCCTGATGGAGATGAAGAATCTAAGGTTGTAGAGCAGCATAGAAAACCTATTAGCAAAGTGCTGAGCACTACAGCAGTGGGGTCTGGTCTTCTCCATACTCATGAATTAAGTCCTCAAAAAAATCTGCTTTTGTCACCTCTTCGGTATTCAGCACAAATGGCATGTCACAGTTCTCTGAAACCGCAAGCACAACCCAAATGCTTTGAGGCTGGTAACTTGAGATCTACAGCCTCCCCAAACATGCTTCGATCATTGGAAGTCCGCAGTTTAGCAGACTCCTCTTTTTCTAGGACTGCTAGATTTTGTAGCATGAAAGTAGAGTCACTTGGCAAAAGACCTGACGTAGTTTCTAAAGCAGAGGCTAGGGACCTCACAGATGTGGCTGACAAGGCATCCAGAGAAGCTGTGAGTTCTGTAACTAACTTAGGATTTCTGGCTTCACTGGCTCGAAGCACAAACAGGGAAAGTATACAGAGTTCCTGTGGGACAGGCAGGTTTTGGACTTCTGGTATTGCATTACCTGCAAACCTGCAGCATTGTCAGGAAGAAAGCTTTAGGAAAGCTACTCCTCCAAATGAAGCTGCTGAATATATTCTAGTGAGTACTTAAGCTTCCAAAGAATTTGAAGCTTTTCTGTCTTTTCTGGTACTGGTGTTACGAAAACTCTACTTTCAGTGCATGTGTCTGTATCTTTTCAGGGAAGGAAGATGGGAAGGGGGAGGTGTACTTAAATCTCTGATAGATCTTAAACTGTTTTCTGAATTCCTGCTGGTATTCTAACTGCCTGTTTATCTGAACAGGTCCTAGAAGTAATTTTTCATAAATACTGAAGTGGTTGTTCAGTTCACAACTAAAATCATTAGTTACCATAATGATAGAATTATGAGTGTCTGTGTTTGAAGTGTCATCTGACATCTCCTGCTGCTTGCTAATTGTCATTTATGCCAAAGTTTGCACTGTGACTGGCACTGTACATGCCTACCTTCAGATCTCTAATGTACTTTCTTGTTTTAGTGTGTTGTGAAGTATGGGAAGACTATTAAATAGACCTTTTAAGTAAGGCTTTATACTGCAGAATTCTAATTTTGTGTACAGAAGTAATTTTGGACTCTTTGTAGGTATGTTGATTGATGAAACATTGATTTCAGATAAGCTGATACCAGACTACCTAACTTCTCATTTCATTTCCATCTGCTAGTAATTCCCTTGTGGAAATTTTTTTCTTTTTAGTCTGCGCATGGGCTTGGAATGAATGGAAGTATTGCAGCTGTAGGGAGAAGAGTAGGTAAGTAGTGTGACTTAAATAATAATTGAAGATGACTCTTTAATCTTTTCTGATATATCGCATATATAGAGGACAAGAGTAGTTTATCTTCGTATGGCATATGTCTTTCCAAGTTTTCGTTGTATTGTCATGGTATAACTTCTAGTATTCTAAGTGACTCTTTAACACACAGATGTCATCCAGATCTTAGGTAGACATAACTGTAACTCTTACCTAGCTTTTTTTAATACTTGGTGAATCCTGCATGTCATCTGTAGACACAAATATGATTTCTGCTCTGAAGTTTCCAAAAGGTCAGTGCTGTGAATACTTCCGAGTGTGCTAAAGTCAGAGGCAAATTTATCACTGGTGTTGTCTTAAGGGTTACAGCCTGAGCCAAGAAGGATTTGGCAAAAGGAATGTGGGGAGGAAGCAATAACAGCATGGATGCTGAAGATTACTGTGCAGATTTTTCTGTATTTTTTTGTGGTGGGCATCATTCTTTCTACCCTAGTCTTGGTAACTGTGGATTGCTTAATGCCTGATGTGTGCTGAAAATGGATATGTTGTGCCTATATATGAATTTCAAGATCTGATACAGAGAATGAGCTAGAAGATAGATCTTCAGATAGGAGCTGCAACAGGCAAAATGATGTGCTTGTAATGACGTGGGAGCAAAAGTTGCTAAAATAGTGAATTGTGCCTTCATTTCACAACTAGGGTTGCAGCTTTGAATTGGCAGTCAATTAATTAACAGGTCTGTCCTTACCTACTGCATGGTAACAGAGATGGTGCTCTTGTGAGACCTCACTTGGAGTACTGTGTACAGTTCTGGTGTCCTCAACATAAAAAGGACATGGAACTGTTGGAACAAGTACAGAGGAGGGCCATGAGGATGATCAGGGGACTGGAGCACCTCCCATATGAAGATAGGCTGAGAAAGTTGGGGTTGTTCAGTCTGGGGAAGAGAAGACTGCATGGAGACCTCATAGCAGCCTTCCAGTATCTGAAGGGGGGCTATAGGGATGCTGGGAATGAACTCTTCTTTAGGGACTGTAGTGGCAGGTCAAGGGGTAATGGGTTAAAACTTGAAAAGGCAAAGTTTAGATTGGATATAAGGAGGAAGTTCTTTACTGTCAGGTGGTGAGGCACTGGAATGGGTTGCCCAGGGAAGCTGTGAATGCTGCATCCCTGGCAGTGTTCAAGGCGGGGTTGGACAGAGCCTTGGGCAACATGGTTTAGTGTGAGGTGTCCCTGCCCATGGCAGGGGGGTTGGAACTTGATGATCTTAAGGTCCTTTCCAACCCTAACTATTCTGTGATTCTAATAACCACATCTGCATGATAGTGAAGCCTGCTATCACCTGTGTCATCTTGGATAGGACTCTGAAGATACTTTTCTGATGTATCTTACATCAGAAAAAAGTGTATTTTCCAAAATGGTTCCAGACGTGAAAAAGCCGAATTTGGTGTCATCATATCATACAGGCTCTTTAGAGAGAAGTGGCCAGTAATGATAAGTTGTATAACTGGCCAAAGGACAGATACAGTTTACATGTAATTGCTGTAGGCATCATAAATGTGAGGATGGGTATATTCCTTTTTCTGTTCAAGTATGGTTCATGGCAGGGGGCTGTCTTCAAGCTCTGTCTTTCTCACAAACTGGGCTAACTGATGGTTCTGAAATAGTATGCTTTTAAGATGGTGAAATTGATAGTATGGGCAAACATTGCCTGGAAGTTCCTGTGCTAGATATCTGTGAGAGAGTACCAGTTGATAGTGATGACTGCAATGTGTAGTGACTGCCTGGCAGTACTACTGAATGTAGCCTGCTCTGTCTCAGCTGAGAATTGACTGTTGAGATTGAAGGTATGCTGGACCAAAAAAAAAAAAAATGTTTGAACTCATAAAGGCCAGTTTTTGTGAGCATCCTGACAATATAGTGGTAGAATCACTGAAAGCATGTTTGAGAAGATGCATTGCTCACCTTCACTGTCCTAGCATATGGTAAATAGGCAAAAGCAATTTGTGGACAGAGTTTACTTCTACCAAGGGGAGGAAAATGCCTTTTCTTTACATGCTCTTCAGTTGCTAAAGCAACAGATAAGAATTACAGGTCAAAAAGTCAAATTAAATTGTGAAGTACAGAAATTTTACAAACATCTGCAAAATGCTTTATGCAATCATATAATTAAATTGAGGCCTGTAGTCTAATAATTTAGTTTTCTTGCAATTATGGAGTATCAGCAAGATTTTCAAATGTTGCAATATTTATTTGACAAACCTGAGCTATAAGCTACTGAATATGCTAGATGCTAGGTACTTCAATGCCCAATTTTATGGTGCTTTCCGAATCACATCATGTGTTTTCATTTTACATTTGGGAAGACCATTAGAAGATGTATTTCTTGATTTCTTCTGGAACTTAATGTGAACATTTAACAGGTGTTAAGAGTAGTGTATTCGATTCCTGCATTGTGTTAACCTCATCCAGAGATGTTCAAAGGCTTGAGATGTCTTTTCTCTTTTAGCTTCTGTGTTTTTTCCTCTCTGTTTAGGCTTTGGGGTTCCCACCTGAGGTTCCTAAGTAATGCAAAATTAATCTGGATTTCAAAAGATTTGACTAGTTTGTGATCAGGAATAAGTAAAAATAAAATGTCTTTGCTGTGTTTCTACCTCTGAAAGCAGGTGAAGCAACCCATCTTCCACCTGTGAATGGCTCAATTCAAGCGAAAAAGAAAATTACAAAGCATTGCTTTCTTTGTGGCAAGAAAACTGGATTGGCAACCACCTATGAGTGCAGGTAGGCTGAAAGTATAATCAGCTCTTGTCTAAAATTGATAGCTGGATTAACCAAAAGGTTTCCTGCACTGCATGGTTTTCCTTAAGCATAGCAAATCAAAAGTCAACCTTCCAGAAAGCTGCAGTTCTTGGTTCAGCAAAACTTTAGGAATTAAAATTCAGGGATGTTGTATGTATTCTGCTGCTGAGGTATATTTTCCTCCAGGAAAATCAAGGAATGGAAATTATTAGGGTGCAAGGTATCGGGAAATAAAGAACATGATTACAAAAAAAGAACAATGACATTTGTACTGGTGTGGAGAGAACTTGCTACAGATTTCTGTTCTGCAGTTTCTCAACCATATCATTATAATATTATAATTTGTTATAATTGTTAACAGCAATTTGAGGAATATGGACTTTGTTGCAATTTTGCAGAAAAACTCCCTCAGATTTGGCCCTATTACAACACATCTGCACAGTTTGTGAATTTATATGAATTCATATTAGACAGCTTTTTAATTTTGCATGTGTTGTGTTTCTTGTGAGACTTCAGTCACCTTTGAGCATCTAGAGCATCTCAAAAGCAGAACGCCAGAGTGCTGGTCTCCCAAATCATGATTTGCAGACAATACAATGAGGCCTGACGCTTGGGGGTGATGACTGGAAACTTAAACAACAAAGAAACAGCAAACCCTGAACACTTTCTCTTTGATCTTGGTTCTTAAAGTATTATTTCCCACAAGATATTCTTTTTTCAGTATCAATTCCAATAATCTAGTCAAAGTTGAGAACTGCTGCACTGTGGGGGTGGCATTTGAAGCTGATCTTGGTTCATGCCAATCAGAAGCAAAATGAGCAAGACTTCTGCCAGTGGGGAATTGTGTTGGAGAGATTCAGGGTGAGGAACTGCCTCCTTACTGACTCTTCAGTCTTTGATTTTGAAACAGGTTTGGGCACTGCACATTTTCCTACTGAGCACATAGCTGCAAGCTCTTCCAGAAGTAACTAAGCAGCTTGCTTTAAGGTTAAAAATGAAGCCTAGAAAAGGGGGTAAATTGCACATCTCCAAGAATAGCATTTGTTCTAGTTTCAAAAGAAGCAACCATACGACCTTTTATTAGAATGGAACATGAACCAAATACAGTTGTATGAGAGAACTGGTGATTACAGGATCAAGAACCAAATAAAAGGAAATTTAATACCAGGCACACAAAGCCTCAGTAACAGTTTTAGAGTTTATTATGAACCCAGATAGATAGATAAAGATTATAGTTTAATACCGAGACAGAAAGTTGCATAAGTAATGAAGGCAGGCTGAGAGAGCTGGGGTTGTTGAGCCTGCAGAAGAGAAGGCTCTGGGGATACCTTATAGCAATCTTCCAGTACCTAGAGGAGGCCTACAAGAAAGCTAGTGAGGGGCTTTTCACAAGGGCGTATAGTGATAGAACAAGGGGAATAGCTTTAAACTAAAAGAGGGAAGACTTAGACAAAATATTCCAAAGAAATTCTTTACTCGTGGGGTGGTAAGGCACTGGAATAGGTCGCCCAGTGAAGTTGTGGATGTGCCATCCCTGGAATTGTTCAAGACCAGGTTGGAAAAGGCTTTGAGCAACCTTGTCTAGTAGCAGGTGTCCCTGCATCTGGCAGTGGGGTTGGAACTAGATGATCTTGAGGGTCCCTTCTGTCCCAAATCTTGTATGTTTCTAATGCCTAATCCATTTCAAGAGAACTCTGTGAATGATGTAATTGCTTTCCTGTCAAGAAACAACTTTATCAAATAATCAGGCAAGTCTCCACTTGAAGCACTTGTCAAGATCAGTTACAACATCCAGAGTATGCTCTTATCTTGTTAGAAGTCTTAGCTGCTGAGCTGTCAAGTTTGAAGAAAAAATCATAATCTTAATTCATTCACATTGCAACTGATACTGGGAAGATGCACCTTTATCCAGTCATATAGGAAGTTGTGTTCCCCATAGTTATTCTGTCTGATGTTTTTACAGCTGACTAAATGTGTATTTATTAATCTCAAATAAGTAATTTGAGTTTATGCCAGCAGAAGTTGTGTTGAACTAAACATCTTGTTTTGGTGATCTGAATGATGTGGTGTTTTTTAACTGAAATGCATTGTGGATTTCACCTGATGCCATTATTTTAGTTCTATGGTTTTGTCCTCTGAATTCTACCAACCAATGTTGTGTGAGGTCTTTAGAAAAGAAATAAAATAAATCAAAGCCCATCATTCTGAATTTGTAAGATTGTTCAATCCTTGATAGCTAATTCAAGGAGTACTGATCTTGCTTACCTTCCCATTTGAAGAGACTGTTGGGTCAAATTTGCAAAGGTGACAAAAATGTCATTTTGATTACCCCACCAGCTAATGTTATCCGTCAGGGATGACTAGAATCCAAGCAGCTTTGTCAAACAAACAAGAGATGATTAAGCCAAAGGGCTTCTAGCATATCAGGGAGTTAAAAGCTTGTGAAAGCTTCTGACTTCTAATATTCTTGATCCTTCAGATGTGGAAACATCTTCTGTGCAACACACCGCTATGCAGAGACTCACACCTGCACCTACGACTATAAGAGTGCAGGGCGAAGGTATTTGCAGGAGACCAATCCCGTCGTTAGTGCACCAAAGCTTCCCAAAATATAACATGGTTGTGCTGCATGTGGCCATTCTGCCATTGAAGAATTGTATTACATTGAGAGAAGCACTTGCTTAAACTGCATAATTTTGCCATGCTCCATATTTAAAGATTTGCCAAGTAACAAGAGCACATGAGGATGCATCCTATCAAAGAATAATGTGAACACTACTGCAGTTAAAACTTTTCTTCTTTATTGTGAATGAAAAGTTAAAGATTAGTTTTTAAAAACTTACACTATGTTACTGCACGTCTTGTGTTGTGTTTTATATTTGGAAAAGCTATTTCACTAGACAAGTCTTTAAAAGATGCACTTTACTAACTTTATTTACTGTATAACCAGACTTGAGGGGGTGTTGTAATGAGGGTGTCATGTAGTGTCTTCTGTATTCTTGTGTTTTTTGTCCATTGCGTGGTATTTTCTAAGTTATTTCACTAGAAAGATCCTCCCTCCCTCCCCTTTCTTGAAATGGCCTATTTTGAGATTTTTAAGGGGGTAGTGTTTTCCGCCCCTCTGTTTCATTCAGATTGGTATTCATACACTGTGTATCCATTCTGAAAATTGCATATCATGTTAAGCACATTTCTTGAAATAATACTGTTTATATGACAAGTTTGTTTTTAAATGGAAAATTCCCCCTTTGTTGCCATTAAATATAAGGAACAATTTATTTTAACTTCTTTTGTAATCCTAGATTTTTTTAAAGACTACACAACTTGGTTTGTTAAGATGTTGAATGCTGTTACTGGAAGAAATTCTAATAAATATTAAATTTTATTCTGGTTTTTGCTCTTACAAATACGCAAAATAACTTTTCCTATCTTAAAGCATGCTCCTAAATTAAAAGTTGGGCTTTGTTATGGGGGCAGGGTGGATTTTATTGTTTTCTTTTTTAGAAGCACTGGCTCATACCTGTTCTCTACTGAAGGCAATGGAAAAATTCCCACTGACTTCATTAGGAATAACGTGACCAACAGTGTGTGCTTTAGACCTGAAGTCTTACAGATGTACTGGCAAAGGCAAAAATGGATGTTCAACAAATGGCATGTATTAACCTACAGCCTTTCTCCTGTAGAGGCAAATTCAATAATTTTGTGAGATCCCCACTAATGAGTATACAGCTACTGCAGAAAGTGATGTTGGAGGAATATACCTACTGAAAGCCTTTCCTCTTTCATTCCCTTAATGTGTCTGAAATATTTTTGTAATCTTATGTTACTTGAGATGTTCTAGTATAAACAGATTAATAAAAAACCCACAACAAACCACCAAAACAAAAGAAATCCCTCCTTATCCTATCTAGACAGTTGAATGTCATGGTCCTTTTTATGCCAGACTGCTCAGCTACTTAATTGGTTGTGGTATTAAAATGATCTGTGCTACATTCCAGTTGAACAGTAGCAACTGAAGAGCATGGCAATCAAAAGTTGAGCCAAAAAAAATCAAGAGGATTGCTAGAAGGGAGAGAGCTAACTTGAAGAATTCTCATCCTTGGAGGAAGTACATTTCATGCATTCCACGTGCAGCTTAAACCTTCTGGAGTTTTCAGAGCATGATGACCTTGGGGAAAAAAATTCAAAATCATTCATTTGGGTAATAATAAGGAAAAAAGATATACACACTGTGTGTGTGAAGTCTAGTTTTATTCTTGCTGAGCAGAGTTGCACCTAGTATGGAAACGTTGTTATGAGCTAGGTAGTGTGAAAGTGCCTGTAGTTTTTATTTCATCTCTAGCAAGGGACAGTATTTGATGCTGAAGGAGTAAGGAACAGGGCAAGCGTACTGGTGTTTTCCCAACAACTCCTTATTTGTGGCTCAGCAGCTCTCTAAAAACAGAGGTATTGGTCTTTTTGTAGTTGCAGTACCTAGTTGGTAAGAATTACAATTAAAATAGTATTGGCTGTCTTCACTTAATTTGACTTTGCATAATTGTCAGGTGTTGTGGTTTAAGCCCAGCCAGCACCTCAGCCACACAGCTGCTTGCTCACTCCTCCCCCACCCCTTCCTCCCCCTGCTCCCAGAGGGATGTGGAGGAGAATCAGAAGGGTGTAACTCCCCGCAGGTTGAGGTAAGAGCAGTCCAGTAACTAAGATATAACAAACCACTACTGCTGCCACCAATAATAATAATGATAAGGGAAATAACAAGGGAAGAGAATACAACCGCTCACCACCCGCTGACCGATACCCAGCCAGACCCAAGCAGTGATCTACCCCTTCCAAGTAGCTGCCCCCAGTTTATATAGTGGGCATGACGTGCTGTGGTATGGAATACCTCTTTGGTTAGTTTGGGTCAGGTGTCCTGTCTCTGCTTCCTCCTGGCTTCCCCTCCTCCCTGGCAGAGCATGAGGCTCGGAAAGTCCTTGGTCAGAGTAAACATTACTGAGCAACAACTAAAAACATTGGTGTTATCAGCATTGTTCCCAGGCTGAAAGTCAAAAACACAGCACTGCACCGGCTACTAAGAAGGAGAAAAATGACTGCTACTGCTGAACCCAGGACATCAGGAAATTATTTTGCAGTGAATTAGAATAGCCATACTCTGCTTTTAAGAAGACTGTGTAACAGTTGTGTGGCAAGAAGTCTGTGAGTCAAATCTCAACTGTGACCCTCTGTTTTTGCATATGTGTACTGAAGTGCACAGACTTTTCAGAACATAGTAATAATCTTAATTTGTATATGTGTAGCTTCTCATAATTTTTATTATACCTCATTTGATGACACCTAATACAGACATTTGTTGTGCAGAACTCTTCTGGTTTTGTTCTCATTTCCAGTACTGGGGCACTCTTAATTTCAGCCAGTAGTACAGTCCTAAGTGCACTTAAATTTGTAATTTATTGTTTTAGTTGGTAATCTATATATAAATATAAACACATAGGGATATATATATATAGATTTAGACCATATGTGTTAGACTGCTATGGATTAATTACTGTTTACTGTGTAAACTTAACATAAATGGTTTGGTTTTCTGAATATTAGTGCACTGTGGTGCTATGGATCTGCTATAGACAAATGTTTAGCTTTTGTGTATTTGTTCATGTAATTAGGTTATATCATAAAGCATTTACATAATGGAATTTTAACAATGACTTTGGTGTATGTTTCTCTACCATCCTGTCAAATATTTTTTGCATGCTGCTCTTGTGCTTTAGGACCTGTGTGGCAGAACCAGTCTGGACTCTTACTGAATGACTTCCAGGACTCTTGTGTCAAACTGACAAGCACCACAGAGGTCTCAGAAATGTTTCTGGATCTTGAATGAAGTATTTCCTTTCTCTGAAATCTCTAGAAGGTCATGGTGATAAAAATCTGTCTGCTTACAATTCCTGTCTATTCAGTTTGCAGTTCCCTGCGCTGGTGCCTTCTGCTAACAACTTTCAGTTGTAGACAAGGCTATATTTGTTAATGCTTTGCGTTAGAAAAATGAAAAGAATCTCGCTTTTTTACATGCGAGTTAGACACTTCGGTTTCTTTTCAAATACATCCAGCTTTCATAATGGGTCATCGTTTTCTAGGTGCAAGTTGTGGGTTTGGAGTTGCTTGTGTCCATAAGGAGTTGCTTCCACCTGTGGCTTTTGTACTGGGTCATGTTTTTCAAATTTTTAAATAGATCAGGTTCATCTTCAAGAGAATTGACACTTTCTGTGAGCCACAGTTACTCATGTGAGGACGTTCACGCAACTAAGAGAGCTGTGTGAAGCTATGGGTCAGTTGTGTGAGCCTGTGCTGCTTCTGATTAACTGTAGTTCTTACCCTGATTTTGGTTTGGGATAGTTTTGCAATGTTTGTAATCGCTGGAGTGTTGGGTGGAAAACAGTTAAAAAAGGTGATTACCTTCCTGTAGTTATTGTGCTGAAAGATTATTGTCCAAAAAAAGGCAGATGTGCTCAACAGACAGAAGAAATTAGGCTGTTTCTTGTGAAGCAGGTGTGTTTAAAGCCATTTGGATCTTGTGGATGGTAACGCTTGTTTTTAATATGTGGAGCTGTAATTATTAATTTTCTCAGCAGACTTTTGTCAAAACATTCTCCTGTTCTCTTTAGTTGGTTTCAATTCCTAGTTTATATTTTACGTTAAGGTGATTTATGTGTGTACCATTGAATGTTACGAGCAAGACTATGCACAGGTAAAGGGACGTTCCTTTTCATAATATTAGTTTTTATCCTCCTTTTCCCTACCCACACTGAGCATGTATACAAACCAAAAGTTTTGCGCGCAAAACCTTTTGACTAATCAGAAATGCTTTTCTACCCCTTTTCCCAGAAGAGAGCAATTGTTTGAAAAGGAGGGCTCTGTCTCAACCATGACATGTGCCCAAAGGCCACGAGATGCAAATGGAGAGCCCAGTCTGAGAGAAGATTTGGGATAAACCAGACAAATGTGCAAAATTGAGTAAAAAAACCTATGTATTTCTAATGATTCTTAGGCTATTAAGAGTCTGGCTTAGATCTATTTTATATTCCTAGCCTGTCTTATTTCCTAATTAGTGAAAAGTGGATTCCTTTACTTATCAGGTAGCCTTTTCAAGCAGAGTATTTCAGGAAGCTGGTCTTTGTCCTCCCCCATTGCTTTGTTCACAGTTGGTTGGATGCTTGACTTATTTTTCCTCTTAGGGGAAATCCACTACTCCACTTATTGGAATTTACAACCACAGATTAAGGAACAGGTCCTCTACTTTAGCTCTTTAGACCTCCTGAGATCCTACAGGATTTTTCGTGGTAGATCCTTCCATCTGATAAGTTTCACTAAGATGGTTGTGTGATGAAAGAACAGGTTGTGCTTCAGAGCCTTTCCAGTCTTCCAAGAAGGATGTGTCAGATTTTCTGTGTATTTCTCTCCCAAAAGATGAAACCATGTCATCCAGCCACATGTGGATTGACTCCCTGAGCCAAGTTCTTCCCTGCAGCTAATTCCATGAATTAAAAAAACCCAAACATAGCTTCTCTTGGGACTACTGCTACATCTTACTAGAAAGACTCAAAGGCAATTTTTCAAAGCCATCAAAAGGAATGCACTGTTTAATAAAACTGCAGAATACAGCATGCACCTTGCTTTACCAATGTGTCTATAGCTTAGGTTCTGTCTATTGCAGCCATTCCTCTCTACCACTCACACACACTAGAATAAGCCAGTATGTTTGGGTTTCTTGTTAATGAAACTATGTAATTTTTTTCTTGATGTTGTTTTATGGCCACTGCATGCATATTTCTTGCAAAATATTTTAGCTTGGGTCATTGTTTTGCCTTTACTGTAACAGTTCTTTAGAAAAAAGGAAAATGGAAATAAAAAGTTCTTGCATAAGCAGCAGTTTAATTGCGCATCTACAGAAGTCTGCGTGAAACAGGAAGACAAGGTATTTCCCACATTATTGTAAGTCTTCAGTGGTGCTCTGGCTAATTTGAAGTAATTTCTATTGGAAATGTTCAGTGTAAGAGACAGTTTTTATGTGTTCTGCAGTGTCTTATTGGAATGAGGCTTGCCTAATCACATCTTTTTCAGAAGTTGTTATAGGCATCGGTCTGCAGAAGAACGGCATCTAGAAGCATGGTTCACTAGTTTGTGCGTAACTTTTCTCTTAGGTAGGGTCTTTGTGGAAGAGATCTTGTTGAAACATTAGCTCTCTGTGTGAAGCTGCAGAGGAGAGACACCAGAGGGCAGCGGTGGCATTTAAGAATGGCAAAAGTTTTGGTTTTGTCCAGTAATGAGATTTTGCAAAGAAAACCATAGATAATGAAAACTGATTATTTTTTTATGACTCTTGTTCAGCCTACTCTGAACAGATCTGAGGAGGTCAGCAATAGGGTAATTCCTTTCCCTAATTCCAAAGTTTTTCAAAAAATTTTGAAAAGAATGGAGAAGCACCTGAAAAATGTATGATTATATGCTGTTTTTTATGATGTAAGCTATTAGGTAATCTTAATGTATTGCAGAATAGAGAGTCGTCATCTATTTCTCCCTACTAACCCTGCAGGTATGAATTTCAGAGGTTAGCTAAGTTATGCTGTATGCTATATATCCAGTCTATATGGTTTCATACTGTGTAATGATAAATATGGCTTTTTTATGGATACAGGGTGAGGATGTGAAAGAATAAATTCAGTGGTGTGTGGGGAGCGTACACCAGTAACTGCTGAAACAAATGGACCACTTCTTCCTCCTTGTATTTTCTGGCCTTGAAACTCAAGAAGTCTTCAGCAACAGATATTTTTTCCTAAACCACACTTTAAGGTCTTTTCTCAATCCTTTTTAATCCAATCTTAAGTAGAGCTGATTACTATATATCATACGATACTGTGTGTGTGTATATATAGCTACGTAAGGATTATGTATTCTAACCACACCTGCATGGTGAGTTATCGCTGAAATTAGGAGTTCTGCCCAGCACCAGAAATTCAAAACAATAGTTAATCATGAAAATAGTATGATTTACATGCTATGTGATTAAGAGGGATAATGGGTTGGAAACAAACCACTGAAGTTTTCTAAAATGCAAAATCAGGGGGTTTGAAACACCCCGTCTTCTTTCCCAGTGTTTTTGGGGTTTTGTGTATTTTGCTTGTTTTGTTTTGAGAAAAGAATATGATAAAAAAAAATAAGTTGTTTTTTTTTTCTTCTTTCTATCCATAAAATTAGTGTGCAGTCTTTTTACTTCACTTGAACTGATGTTTGAGAAGTAGACTAGGTTTTATTTTATGTGAATCTGATTTGTGCTTAATGTCAAGTGCTGGAACTGTTGCCTGCAGTGGGCCTTATTTGGGTTGTGGTTTGTTAAAAACCTCCACTGGCTGGTGAAAAGTTACAACTCAGAGATGTATAATGAGTTACCTTTGGTTTTAAACATGGTCTTGAGACTGAGAGTTGAGTGCCAGGACTTGTTCTTAGCATTGACTGTCTTGCCAGTGATTACAGGTAGTTTGCTTCTGGGGGAACATAGGACGCATAGATTGGATTAGCCTGAGATCCATCCAGTAAAGCATCTGTCTCCGAGAATAGGAGGTAACATAACATTTCAGAAGAAGGTGAAGAATTCTTCTGTAACCAAGTGTGCAGGAACTTGTTTTCAACACTGGATCTTATGCTAATGACCGGTCTGAACTGTCAAGAACTTGCTGTCTCAGTGTATAGTATGATATTAATCTGGAGGCCCACAAAGGTCTAAAGCTATTTTTGAATCTCGATAGATCCAGTCTTACATCTATTTGTGTAATGTAAAAAAAAGCATTTTCTTTCACTGTAGTTTTGAATTTCCTACCATTTTTTATAATTGAAATTCATTTGGTCTAGTGTTATGAGAAAGGAAGAACAGTATCTCCTGAATATTCAGTTATGTTCTGTGTTTGTATCATGTCTCCGCTTACTCATCTTTTTTATGACAATGATTCGCTGTCTTTGCTGTTCCAGAGTTCTAATTATGCTTGCTGTCCTTTGAATCTCCTCTAATTTTGCAGTATACTTTCAGAGATCCTTCTGTCTTCTTCAGTTCCTTGCTGCCCATTTTCCTGTCTTGTATATTTATGCTTTAAGCTGCTCAAGGTGTTGTTAACAATGGAAGCCTTTACAATTATAATTAAAATAATATCTGGTAAAATATGCCCATCGTTCTTCCAAGGGATATCCTATAGAAAGTATTATTAATCTGTTTGTACTCTGAACAGGATATAAATAGCAGTAGTTAGAGTATGAGGAGAAAAGGTAGGAAAGCTGTGTAAGGGGAACATCTATTTGAGTTCAGCACAGTAGCTATACTTTAAGGAATATGTCTGGTTCCATTACACAGCAAAAGACTGACTATTTTTACACCTTTACCACATCTGCATGTTGGATGCATGCAGTCTATTCATTGCAGTGGGGAGAGCCAAAACTGAAATACCGACTGCTAAGAGGTAGGCTCAGAAAATGTCTTTTCACCTCTGTGTATTTGGGTTTGGGGGAATAAGTTAATATAACTTTCTATACACTCCTCAGTGGTTTGATTAACAAATGTGGAAGTGCAGCACACTGGTCAGGTCCTTTTTCCATTTTCTCATCAGAGGAGGAAGAAACATTTTTTTTAATTTTTTGCAAAGTAGGGGAAGAAAATGGTGAGTTGTAGTCCCAGCTGCAGTACTGCTTGACATAGAGATGCATCACTTGTCACTGAGCTGCACTTTTTTCTGGTAGTGCATATCCTGCCTTGACTAAGCATTAAATTTACTGGGGTACAAAGAAGAGACTGAGGTGAAGACTTCTCCTTTCTTTTATCTGGATACTAAATGACTCACTGTGCTATAAGCCTTGATCAAATGTAAGACGGTAACATTGTTGATTGGATTTCCCAAGTGCCAGTTTACACATACCTAGTTTTATCTAGAGAAATTACCTTAAAAGGTCAGTTTGTTCCATTTGCCAAACTTTCTCGTATTTTTGAGGCTCAATAATGAGAAAATCCCTAGTAACGCTTTCACAGAGGACAGCGTTTATGAGGCCTGGGTTTGGCTTTACGACTGCAAAAGCTTATCTGCTCTGAGACAGATTCAAAGCTGTATAAAATCCTGTCAGTCTTCAAAGGCACCCGAACATGACTGAAGAGTCGCTTAAGTCTGCTGGGGTGTGTAGTCATATGGCTGTTCCTCATGTCTGACTGAACATGCTGTATGTAAGGCCGGCAACAGTCATTGCTGAATCCACACCATACAAGGGTCTTGCATCACTCTACTGAGAAAAAGTATTTTTATTTTGCAGGGAGGAATGTTTTTTTCTCCTGTGGCTTTACAAGTGCGACTTCAATGGCTGATGCCACTCTGTCCCAGAGATGAGTTTCAAATGATCTCATCCTAGAGAGCTGCCCAGAGAAGCTGTGGCTGCCCCGTCCCTGGCAGTGTTCAAGGCCAGGTTGAAGGGGCTTGCAGCAACCTGGTCTAGTGGAAGGTCTATGGCAGTGGTGTTGGAACTGAACCTGTAAGATCCCTTCAACCCAAACCATGCTGTGATTCTAGGGCCAACCAAGGCTAGGTTTTTGTGAAATGTATTTACCATAATGTAAAAAATGCATGGCAAAAAGTGCTCCCACCAATCTTATAGAGCAGATTTGAAAACAATGCTGTGTGAAGCATATTGGTAACGGGGTTTAAGGAATCCAGATCTTACAGAGGTAAATTGATTTCTTTCATTTTCCTGTCAGAACCTGAAATCCAATTTGTATGAATTAAAACCACTCAGGAAGGATCTAAACTTTATTTGTATTTCCTTTCATCTTTCCACTTGAATTCACATCAGTTCCGTTCACCTTCCCCTAATGCACCTCTTTTTCCTTCTCTTATCAGACTCTATTTTGTTCACCTAACACAGACAAATCAGCAAAGCAGCATTGCAGGAAGGAATGGAGCCTGGGCTCACCCTCAGTAAAACTAGGGGTCATCAGAGAACTTCTGGAGAAATTCCCTTCATCTCTACCTACTGGCAGAAGAGTGTTCATAGAAGACAGTGGACAGATGGGGGAATACACAGCTTAGGATATGCAATACGCAGGTGGAAGGAAGTAAAGGAACTGAGCTGACCTGGACTAAAACTAGCAAAGAAAAAGCCTTAGGAGCACACCCTGTCTTGGTTGCAGGCATGTCATGTTTGCCTGTGTGAGCATACATCTGGATTTAAAACTTCCTAGTCATCAGGCTTGCATTCTTTTCTCTTAGTGTTTGTTATCCAGTCTAATAGATGTTTCTCCACATTTTAAATTAACAGACACATACACATGCATGTGAAATGAATGAGCATGTATGTACTTCAGTGCATGAAGGCACTTCCTTCCATCTGCCTGTTCTTTGCAAGGGGTGTTCTAAGAATGTGCATTTTTGAGATTTGCAGTCTCTCATCAGAACCTCAAGTAAGTGTGATCCCCTGCAAGACTGGGGATGCTTCCAGCCCTGAGTCCTTAATGGCTGTTCTGATTACAGTGATAAGATACTGCATGGGTTTGTACAAAAAGCTGCAAGAAAGTGTTGCAGTTTCTTACGGCGGTAACATAGGAGACTGGTATAGCTCATTAAATACATGATAGCAGTAGTTTCAATTTATATCTGGAAACAGATTCTCCCCAGAAAAACTAAATAACTGTGGAGACCCAAGCCACAGTGGAATTCTAAAGTAATCCCCTGAAGTATTGTGGAGTTGCTATGGAAACATGCAGGTGCTCAGACTGATAGTGTGGAATAAAAAGATCATTTATAATTATCT